GCCCAATTACATACATGTGTTCATGCTATTATTATTAAGCAAAATCAAATAGACATATACATGTGTTTAAAAAAATGTATTCACACACATAATTAGTGAGAAATGAAATATTCATTTTTTGAAATGTGAAGGATGGAGAAATTCATTTTGTGAAATGTGAGAGATGAAAAAAATCATTTTATAAAATGTGAGGGACGAAAAAATTTATTTTATAAAATGTGGAGGACTATAGATCAGATTATGTAAAATATAACTTGACAAATTTACCCTTCAAAAATGATCACGTGGCTTGCACATGATGGATTCCAGCCAAAAAATGATCGAAAACCTAGTTAGGGACTAAATTTGTCCGATGTGAATATGTAAGGGATATAAAATTACACTTTTAAAAGTGAGGGACGAAAAAAGTTATTTTACAAAATGTGAGGGACGTTTTGGACGACTTTCCCTTTTTTTTTTTTCTAAAACAACCATAATAAATTACAATAAAATTTTAAACAAATACTCCACGAACACACTATCCAGATGAATCTTAAATAAAACTAGAGATTTATGAACGTATGCTTTAGAGAAAGATTATTAAAAAGAGAAGCTTTGTGCAACAATTCAATCGAATGACCTTTTAAGCATTATCCAATACTTATTTCGTTGCTATAAACAACATCGCGTGTTTTACGAGAATTGGTTTCTTTGAGCAATTTAAGAGAAATTTTACTCGATTGGTAGTACTTTTCGTTATACTCAATCCATATTACTTTCTGTAACTATATGTGATTTAACATTTTTACTTTTCCCTAAAAAAAATTTGGAAACTCGTAAATTAACTATTTCGATCTCAACTAATGCTTAAAGAAAACATTGATGTTTTTTTTTCTAGCTATAGGAATCAAAAAGGGGGAGGGGTGATTAAAGAAAAGACTATAATATAATACTTCATGGCAAAACAAAGATGGACCATAGATTAGTAGTTAGCTCTTTAGCATCAAGCTGATCAACAGTCTCTTTCTAATTAATGATAACAAGACCAGATTAAAGTTAAAAACCAAGGCCCTATTTGGCAAATGAGTTTTTTTGGATGTCTGTCTAAAACTTTACTATATAATTTACTGTAGGAGTTGTAAGAAAATTTTTTTGAAGTGTGTAATTTTTTGGATATTTTGAAGTGTAAAATTTAAAAATTTTGAGAAGTTTTTGATATTACTGTAACTAAAGTTGTTAAAAAACTTGTAACAAACAAACTTGGCCAAAAACTTGTTTGTCAAATAGGTCTCAAATTATAGCTAGAGAATTTTCTGGAATAAATGTTAGTTTTAGTTGGTCGCCTCCCCCCTAGTTCATTCAAATTGCAGAGGCCTCCCCCTCTAATTCTTAAAAATCATTAATTTCTCCCCCAGTTTATATATGACTACAACTCTTTGTTCAGGTGCTTGATAACAAAAAGAACCACAAACACAGATTTCATCGAACAACTCCTTGTCCAAGTACTTCAGATTTGATACCACAAAAAACCACAAAAAGCACGGTAAGGTTTAGTTACATGCCCATGCTTGAAATTTTTGAGTTTCAGAAACTTTCTTTTCTATTTTGTCCAAAAATCCTCAAGATATACGGCATTCTTTTGAAAAGAAAGTTCATGATTAAGATGAGTAAAAAGGAACGAAAGGCTGTAGGTATGTATCTTTATTTGATTTTGTATAGAAAAAATATTTGTTTTATTTGATTATTGTTAATAATCCCATGCACTCTAGTACTTGTTATTAATCCCTCAATTTCTTGAAGGGATTCAGCTTATCATTTATATACACATAATAACAATTACTATTTTTTCTTACATTTATACACTTTTTCTATATGATTCCCCTATATTTATACACTTTGCCTAATTAATCTTATACTTCTAAAATTCTAATACCTGACATATGGACACTCGTTAGACAGATTGTTTCTTGAATATGTTCAATGCCCCTTATATAAAGCTAGCTAGTTAAGCATTGGAACTTATAATTTTGCATATGGAGCTTTATACCCGTAAGCTTGAATTGCATAGTGAAATGTACATAAATATAGAACTTAACGTAATAACATGCGAAAAAAAACATATTATCTCACCTTAAAATTTGTGTCTCAAACTCAACATCATCTCTTCAAATTAAAATCAACCCATCTTTCACCCTTGATTGTACTATGCAATCATCCGGTGATTGTAAGATTCTTACAAGGTCTGTAGCAGGATTCTTCATAAACATGGAGGGTCATTAGCTAATTTTCCCAATAAAGTTCGTGCACCATTTCATTCTCGATTGCGAAACTTCATAAATCCTTTGAAATTCAAATGGAATGAATGGAATTTTTCCGTAGTGCCAGTTCGTAAATCTTTCCATGGTAAAGCTGATAAATAGGTGAGCTAATGAGCATGTAACTATCTTTTTTTTTTTTTGTTTCTTTTTTCTCATGATTTAATGGAAATTAAAGAAGGAAGAATAGGAATATATTGAACAATAAGAAAATACACTTCAATATAGGTTTTTGGGTCAAACCATCCATAGAAACAACTTTAAAACATAATAGAGATAAAATATTATTTGAGTACAAAGCATTTGTTTTGTTTAACTAAGCCATGGATTCCTGAACAACACAAGCGATAGTGATTTCTTCGACAAATGGGTACGTATTTCAAATGAAAACGACCCCAAAAAGAAAGAATGTTTCAAGCGAAAGAAAGCCCCACTTCATTTCACATTCCCAATGTACAGCCATAAAATATTGGCTATTGAGCTTCAGATAGGGGGAAGATTTAGCAAGCAAATAATCTTAGAAACACTCCTTGGAGCACAATCAACTGGGGCCTTGAATATTCAGAAAAAAAATGTATAAATTGGACAACTACAAATCTGTGATGGTAATTCTTCATTTAGCGTATTACTTGTCATAATTAAATTGCAAAATGGAAAGTAACAAATTGCAAGGTCTATCCTGCTGGCAATTTCTGCTGTTTGTTTTGAAATTTATACCTTCAAGAAAAAATTGTCCACTGATGTTAATAGATTTTCTTTGGTCACCTTATTATTGTGAACAAATTATTTAATTACATCATAAATACATTTTCAATCGTCTTTTTTCCCTTCATCTTTATAACCATCTTTTTGTTTTACAATCACATAACAAAGAGTGTTATAGTGGTATTCTAATCAGTTTTTTTTTAAAAAAAATAATCCTCTATTCGAAGATGTTTGTCATGCTAGCTGAAAGTTGAAGGAACCCTAATGCAGAGTATCTGCTTCCCCTTTTGAACATGTAAAAAACCATTTTCCATAATTGAGCAAATACCAAAAAACCATTTGGGATAAAACCCTTCAAGTTTGTTATCTCCTAAGCCTATTCTTTGGAACTTTGACAACTTCTAATGGGGTAAAGCAAACAATAATACCAACAAAGTTTTTGTTATGAGTAGTCAATTTATTAGCTCAGAAAAAAGCCAATTGAAAGTAAAACACTGGAACAAGAGCATAAATATAAGCTTTCACTTAAGATATCAAAATTTCAACATTGAAAACTTAATTGATTGGAGAGGAAATACCAATTTCGTTCAGTTTTTCCATCATTCCCCTCTTCACTTTCCTTTACACGTGTAGGAGAGGAGAACATGAATCAAAGAAAGCTTACGTAAGACCATTCTGTTGTTAAAGAATAAAAAATTTTTTGGTTTTAACTATGAAACATGGAAAGCAATGCAAAATCATAAGGAATTATGAAACTAAAGGCTTAATCAGAAGGGTAAAAATTTAATTTATCCAAACTTTAATTGCAATGTATTTCCAATCTAAAAACTTTAGTAATTAAAAATCTATTTGTGAGACAATAGTTACAATGTACCCAATGCATTTATTAATTCAATCTCTTTGTAAGTTATAACTTCTCCATCTGCACAAGACTCGGGGCAGTGTCTGTACATCGCGCAGGTGTTTGGTGCCTATGATTAGAGAGGATTTTTCATTGGACAAATAACAGTACACTCTGGAAAGAAATAGTCATCAAATATGACAAAACTAATAATAATACATTCTAATTGCAGCACACACTTGTACACTTTATTTGATCAATGCTTTTATAATTTTATCATTCCCAAAAGGTCCCTACAGATGTCAGTTGAAAATCGCTTAAGAGCAGACATAAGTTGTTTAAAACAAAGGGATATCCTCCAACAGTTAGTTATGGTAATGTGTTAATTGCATAATATGTTAATATGTTTTTGTGTTAATTGTACAACAAAAGCTATACTTCAATTAAATGTGTTTATAATACCATTTCAGTAATTATACTAACACATAAGCTTATACGAGTTGTATTCGATGCAAAAACGGTTGTAAAATAATTTCATATTTCAGGAATACCCAGATGTCTCCACAAATTAAAGCTTTAAATATACCAAAATAAGAGCATTTCGGTAAATATATCTAAACATATGCTGCCCTCAGTTATATCAAAAACCTTTAAAAAACTACACAACATTTCACATTTTCAAAAAACTCCTATACATGCTGGTGAAATTCAAACCCCCTTTATAAGGATATCGAATAATTTAACTAGAACCAACAAAGACGTGCAATATCAAGCTACTACCCAACGTGCATAAGGAGCAACAAACAACTATATTTTGATGGCTTATGAAATGGCAAAAAAAAGGAATCAAATATTCTTAAAACCATTAAAATAGTCATACAAAAATTTGAAGCTTAGAATTAGAGCGGGGGATCGACTTCAACGGCTACTTGGTGATTCCCCATACAGAATAGGTACAAAGTAAAACCGACCATCTACCTTTTCCCAGCTACCCAGCTCCCCACCACCATCTTTAGATCTTTCTAAGAATCCCATTAATCCCGTATAACTTTTTGCACTAATTAAACTATAAAAACCTCAAGCTTGCCTAATGAAACCTTATCAGAAAAACCTCAAAACTAGCCACATTCTCTGAATACAACAGTTTCCTGCTCCAGAAAATGCCCAAGAAACTAAAATCATCATCAGTCTTTTTGCAGAAAGTATCAAGGCTCCTAAGAGTCCCTATTTTTATCACCAGAATGAGGAAATCCATCAATATTCCAAGAATTATTTCACTCAAAAAGTCAAGGAAAATCAAGAAATTCATGCTTCTCAGGCATTACAAGTATGGGTACGTTCAGGAGTATCAGTTCTCCCCTTCAAATAGTCCATTCCTGCCGTACAACTGCAGAAAGCCAATCAACAAGAGGAGATATAAAGATTTGTACTCCATTTTATTCATTGGAAAATGCTTAGGTATGAACAAGGCAGAAAAGGAATACAGGGGCTTTCCATTGGAGTCGAAGGTTTTGCCTGCTATTGAGGATACTATTGCAAAAGATTTATCTGAACAATCAGAGTTAAGTGGGGAAGATGATGAGCGCTCAATTGATGAAAGGGCTGAGAAGTTTATTGAAAGGTTCTATGAGAAGATGAGAATTCAGAGGCAAGAATTACTCATGTAGTTCGATCCATTAATGCTGGATGCTGATTGCTGAATACACGAGAGAGCTGCAAAAATGTTGTCATCTTTTTGTTTCCAGATCATGATCATAATTCTTTTTGCAAAGTTTTGTTCCTAATTTTTATTGAATCTCCTTATGAATTTTTGTTTTGTGACTGAAGGAAATTTTTTTTCTGCCCGGTCAAATGTATTGCCAAAGAATTTCTTAATAGAGAACTGTAGTCAATTTAAAATTCATTGAAAATGCAACAAAACCTATAGGGTTAGTATCCAGTCCTTAACCGGTACAAACTGCAACTAGTTCAAATTGCAAGCTTGTTGAATTACACTTTTTACATAGTTCATCATCTACTCTTCAAATGTGAATGGATGTGGTAGTTATGGATTTTTATTTTCATTGTTACTAATAAGGACTTTGTTGAATTCATTAGCACTCAGGTTTTTACTCCACCAGCTATTTGTCCAAGATAAATGACACCATTATCACTACTTATCTCTTCATTTGTTGGAGTCGATGTACGCATATGATGAGACATTAGTTGGTCATTTTACACCATTATTGTCCGAAGAAAACCAGATTACTGTCATTGTCCTCAAAGATTGAAGGCAACTACGTGTATTCTTGCCCCCACGGGAGGTAGTTCAGTGGTAAGCAAACTCTTAGGATTCTTTTGGTCATGAATTTGAATCTAATTCTTGATTTGAACACTCGTGACTTACCTCAAATGCATCGTGTGGGGCCGCAGCATATCCTCCGGTTTGATGTATTGGCTTGAGTCCAAAGTCGTTCGAGTTGGAGCACATTCCTGATCACAAAAAAAAAAAAAAAACTACCGGTATTCTAAAAAAGAGCCGTTGAATAAATCTAAAAAAGAGAAATAAACTCCCTGAATTCTACTAGTAAAAAAGAAAAAAAAAAGGGAAGGCATCCATCAGACCCACTAACTGAAGGCAACTACCAGTGTACTGTTTTGGATTTGAGTGTTATACAATTGAATCTAATGTAGATTTGTTCAGTTTAGTGCCATTGTATCTGCTGTACACGAAGGAGACCGGGCTGCGTAATCAAGCGGCCTTTGTCCTACACGAAACCCAAATCAGCATTTGTGGCTCCTTTCTAGGCAGGCTCGCTTCTTAAATGAGAAACAATAGCGCTTAGCCCACTTACTTAAGGGAAAATGGCCAATTTCGTCCCCAAAAATTTTTACTAGAGCTGATTTAGTCCCTAAATTTTATTTTTAGCCAATTTGATACACAAACTTAATTTTTGGGTCCAATTAAGGCCCTCTGCGGCGGCGCCACCGCATAGAAGCGATTTGACTCTTAATTTAATAATTAAACAAGGGCATTTTGGAAACTTTGTGTACTGTCCTCCTTCCACCATGAAAGGCAATCTCCTCCATCAACCATCAAACTCCACCCTCCTCCTCCTCCTCCTTCTCCCCTATAATACACCCGCCTGGCGCCAGCAGCCGCGCACCCAACACATTTCAACATGGCCCCAATTTGAGTCCAAGAACCCAAACATTCTACAATTGCAAAGCACCACGTCCACCTCCTTCACCATTTATCAAACACCATTCATCTTAACTAGAAACTGCCGCCAAAAATAGCAATCACAAAGCTACGGTTGGTAGAAGCAATCCCGACAATGGTCATGCCGAGGTATTCAAATCAAAATCATCATCTACCAAAACTAAAAGAGTTCGAACCATGGCCAGACTGATTAATGCCAGGCCCTGGTTAACAGATCTTCAAGCCTCACTCTCCCAATTCTCACTTTCCCAAACCACCGTCCTTCAAACTCTCCGCCTCATCACAACCCCTGCCAAAGCCCTCCATTTCTTCCACTGGGCTTACAAATTGGGATTCACCCACACTCCTCAATCCTACTTCCTCATGCTTGAGCTCCTTTGCCAAGCAAGAAACTTCAACTCCGCCCGGAACTTTCTCTTATCCATTCTGGGAAAGTCTAATGGGGCTATCCAACTGGAGGATAAGCACTTTAACTGTTTGATTTGCGCCTTTGGCGAAGCTGGGCTCTTTAAAGAATCCCAGAAGATATTCAAAACCATGAAGTCCATTGGGGTTTCACCCTCTGTTATTATGTTCAATGCCAGTGGTGATCACCTTTGCAGCAAGAAAATGGTGACAGTGATTGGATGCTGGAGTTTTCTTCTTATTGCAAATTCTTTCTTGCGATGATGAGACGGTCAAGAATGATTTAGAAAGGGCTTTATTCGGATTGTTTATAGGACTAGATCTCCTTTTGGGGAGGGGAGGAGGGGGGGAGGTACAAGTAATGGGGAAAATGAAGGAAAAGGAGTAGTGGGAGAGGAATGCTGGTGAAAGGGATACAGGGGAGAAAAGGAGAGGAGGTAGAAGTGGAAAAAGAATGGAGGGGGAAGAAGGAGCAAGTGGGTGGCGAGATGGAGTTTGGTGGTGGAGTGAGGAAAGTTATGAAGGAGTGGAAAAGGTAGTGGCAGGTAACGGTGTCGAAGGAGGTGGAACGGTGGCCGGATTGACCGAGGAAGGGGGTGGCAGAGGAGAAGAGAGGAGATGAGGTAGAGAAAGGGGTTGGAAGCTGATTAAAAATTTTAAAAATACCCCCAAAAACTTTTAAATTTTAAAAATATCCCAAAAATTAATAAATTTTTTTGGTTTACTTGGTTTTTATTACAGCCTACATCCAAAATTCCTAAAATACCCCTATTTAGTTATTAAATTAAGAACCAAATCATTTTTAAGTGGTGGCGCCGCTGCAGAGGGCCGTAATTGGACCCAAAAATTAAGTTTATGTATCGAATTGGCTAAAAATAAAACTTAAGGACTAAATCAACTCTAGTAAAAATGTTTAGGGGCGAAATTGGCCATTTTCCCCTTACTTAAAATACTTTCAAAGCTTGAAAAATGAAAAGTAGTATGACTCATTTCCACATTCTTTGACCAGTGCAGGATACTTTCTTTGGTTTCTCATTTCCACATCCTTTGCCTATTTCCATATATGGACAATCGGTTGGTTCGGGCATAGGAATAAAAGCAAACTCAACGATGGCGATCTTTTAACGCTTCTGGGTCCGTTTATAGATGGACAATCCAACGGCCGAGATCGTTGAACCTTTTCTTGCTTAGGGTTGCGGCCGGTTTTCCCCACGCAGTTACACAGACAAATTCCCTTTTAGACGGTTACATGCAGAAAGTCCACATATAGGTATATTGAGCTGGCGAGATTGCTAGGCTGAGGTCTTTTGAGTGTTCGAAATTGATCGATTGTTAATCGAACCGATTAGGAATCGGAACTCCTATGGCGGAGAAGATAGTGGAGGAGAAGAAGAAGCCGGAGGGGAAGAAGGCGGCGGATAAGAAGCCGGAGTTTCAGTTGTATAATAGTATGTCGAAGCAAAAGGAGGTTTTCCGGCCGAAAGAAGAAGGCAAAGTAGGAATGTATGTTTGTGGCGTGACCGCGTACGACTACAGCCACATTGGCCACGCACGCGCCTACGTGGCGTTTGATGTCCTCTACAGGTTTAATTTTCGTTTTGATATGAATCCCTTCTTCGAATTTAGCTTGTGATTGCAATTGATGAATATTGAGTGCTATCTACATTTATTAGTCTGACCTGCTGCTTTTGGAATGAATCTAAATTGTAATTTGAGTAGCAGCATAAGATGAATTTGACATTTTGATTGACTACTGTAAGTAGAAGACATCTGAATAGTGCTTTTTAAGAGACTTTAATCAGTAGCTAATTAAGAATGGTGAGATTTCTTCCACTTTCTAGGGGCGATGGGGATTACAATTGTTAATTTTGGGAATTGTAAATTGGACCAAGGTTATCTGAGTGATTAGTGTTGCAGAGTTAGTCTTATGGATCGTAAGTAGAAAAAATATTGCTTTTCTGCATGTCCTTGCTCAGAAGATGATGTTTAAGTTCTCCTGTTGAATGAATCAAGAGTGCAACAGCTTTCTCTAGACAGATTTCTTTGCAATGCTGAGCTTTGTAATTTTACTGGTATAATTTGGCTTTTAAGGTTTAAGCATGCTATACGTTTTAGTTTGCTAGTGTATGATGTTGGAAGATATCCTACTGATGATCAATAAAAACATATTGAAATCAGTAATGGTGTTGTTGATTGTACATAGCGGTTCATAAACTCCTACTCATGTAGTTTTGCATGTGTAGTTTTTATATATGTCTGTGCATATTTAATATGTCTATATAGGACAAACATATCAGATATTTTTTGTATGTTTAATGTGTAATTTCTTCTCTAGGTTTGGTTCATGTAATTTTATTGTGGTATTTAACCACGAATGCGTTCAATTCTTTTGGTAGATTGTATCTGTGGTATAGGCTGTTTTTTTGTCTATTCTAATAAAAATGGTTAATAATTGTTTTCGGTTGCTATTGTGTTGTAATTCTTTTCGTTAAATTCAAAATTGTTTAGGTACCTAAAGTATTTGGGATACGAGGTTGTTTATGTTCGGAACTTCACTGATGTTGATGACAAGGTAAGAACCTCAACTTTCTTGTAAATCAACTACTTGTGCATTTGTGTTTGTTATGGCAGAGTATTTGTGGAAAAGATAATTCTGTTGTTTACTGTTAATACTTCTCTCGAGACCATTAATGTAGATTTTGTTTGATGACTATTTAAACATATCGGATTTCAGATGCATGTGACTAATTAAACATATGGGGTTTGAGAAGCATATGTATGATTATCCTTTGCACAAATGTATAACAAGATAATCTGGCATGCCAAGGATGGTCTTGGTTTAACTTGGTAACCTGAAAGATTTTATTCCATATGGCTGCGACTGAACCTTGCGTGCATGAAATGTTAGTATATTAGGGAGGGATCATGTTTGGAATAAGTTCTATTCTGGTGTTGTTCTTTGATTTCTTCTCATATACCTCTCTCGGGCATACTTGAAATAGTTGGCCAAGTTGTAAGAGAAGAGACCAACTTTCATCCTCATCCTTTTGATTTTCTGTC